CCTTGGCTCAGGGGTTGTCAGAACAGTTTCCCGGAGCCGCATCCCGGCTCGCTCCACCCCCGACCCAGCAGGAACTGCGGCCAGCGCAGCGCTTCCTTCACGGGAACACAGAATAGTCTGAATTGGAAGRGGGCCCTCAAGGATCATGGAGTCTGACCCTTGGCCCTGCACGGGACCATTCGCAAGAGTCACACCATGTGCCCGAGAGTGTTGTCCAAACACTCCTTGAGCTCTCTCYGGCTTGGTGCTGTGACCACTTCCCTGGAGWSCCTGTTCCAGTGCCCGACCACCCTCTGGGAGAAGAACCTTTTACTAATATCCTACCTGAACTTCCGATGCAAAACCATTTCYTCAGGTCCTGACCCTAGTCACTACTAGAGAAGAGATGGGTGTCTGCCCCTCCTCTCCCACTCACAAGGAAGTTGAAGACTGTGATGAGTCTCCCCTCAGTCTCCTTTTCTCCAGGCTGAACAGACCAGGTRTCCTCAGCCATTTCTCATATGGCTTACCCTTCAGGCCCTTCACCATGTTTGTTGTCCTCCCTTGAATGTTCTCTAACAGTTTGAATATCTTTCCTGTATTGTGGTGCCCAAAACTGCCACTATAGCTCAAGGTGAGGCCCCCCCAGGCCAGAGCAGATCGGGACAATCCCCTCCCTTGACCAGCCTATGATGCTGGSTCTGATGCCCCTGGGACATGGATGTTGACTCAAATTCAGCTTTCTGTCAACCAGGACCCCCAGGTCCCCTACTGGGCACTGCTCTCCAGCATCTCATTCCCCAGTCAGTCTGTGCATCCAGGGTTGCCCATCCCATGTGCAGAATCTGTCATTTTCCCTTATTGAACTTCATATGGTTGGTAATTGCCCAGTGCAATTTGTCCAGGTGTCCCTGCAGAGCCTCCTTGCTTCTGAGAGAGTCAACAGCTCCTCCCAGTTTTTGGTCTGCAAAGTTGCTCAGTTTCCCACTGTGTCCAAGTCCTTATCAAAAATGTTTAAGAGCACATGGCCAATGATGGAGCCCTGTGGAGCCCCGCTAGGGACCAGTGCCAGCCTGATGTCACCACAGTCAGTCACCCTTTGTGCCCAACCCGTGAACCAGTTGCTCACTCATCGCATGATATGTTTATCCAGCTGAATGCTAGACATTTATCTGGAAAGACACTGGGAGAAACAGTATAAAAAGCTTTACTAAAATCCAAAAAGGTTATATCAGCTGGCTTTTCTTGATCAATCAGGTGGGCTAACTTGCCGTAAAAGGAAATCAGGTTTGTGAGGAAAATTAATCCACAGACACCAGAGGTTTATGTCCAAAAAGGAGACAGAGGAGTTCCGTAACTTTATTCATGAATAAAGGGAGAGGTCATGGGCATTTCCCATAGGGTCTCTCAAACTGAT